TCAAAGACTGTTAAGACAGAACGTGACTTTCTAGCAAAGGACCTAAGAGTTTTGATGTGGGGAATCCTAAGATATACTGAATCAAAATGGAACATGGTGGTTCATCTGAAATTTGCCCTTTAAATCTCAAATGGAAGTCATAAATGTAATGGTTCTTTGAATTCACAAATTCTGCTTCTTACAACATGTTCTCTTTACTACTCCTCGTGTACCCTGGGATTAATTTATCCTATCTAGACCTACACAGACTCTCTCCTATAGTCTTACTGCATACTAATTGAGACCTAAATTATTAAGCCTTTAATAAATGTGGCAAGGAGAAAATTTCTAGATGTGGAAAATCCGGTCTTAGCCTTCATTTTCCAGGTGAAGAAACTCAATGGTGAAGTGATTTTCCCAAGGTTATTCGACAAATGAGTCCCATTTAAGCCTAAGCTTCACTGCTTTGAATTTACCAACCCTTCTAGATCAAGAAACAATAAATATTTCTCTGTTTCCTATTTCTGAACCTTTTTAGTGAAATATTACAGCATGAGATGGTGACATTTCATAGCAACATTTGAGTGATTTGCTATTAGTTTGGTAATGGAAAACATGCTAATGAATATGTATGTTTATATACATATATAATTGAAAAGTCAGCAACTTGTCAGCAAATAGTAGACAAGTGGAACAGATCAGAAGTACCTGGGAAACCTCCAGTCATACAGAACATTTTCTGAGTAAAATAGAAACTGATTATTTCCCCACAGCAACCACCATGGGGAGAGAACTTCAGAATCCACCTGGAGATCCAAGAGACAGCTGTTGGGCTTATCTGCAGTGGCTCCAGGACCCTAGGGCATCTGGTACAAGCAGAAAAGGAAGACAAGCTGGTCCTAAAACTGCGACTGCAGTAACAACTTGCCTTTGCATTTGAAGTGGACGGCTCCCTTACCAGGCAGAAACAGAACTGTCGCACACAAAGAAAGAGTTGGTTCATCAAAGAGATAATTAATAAAAGAGCTTTGCTTGGTTTTGTGTTTTGGTTGTTGTCTCTTGGGCTTAATACTGCTTGAAGCAATAAGCAATGGTGAAGGAATTCCATGTGGACCGATCATTCTCATCTTTGGCCACACTTCTCTTCTTTGGTTGAAGGGTATAAAACACTTTCTCCTGAAGGTTATAGAAGGAATCAAATTAGGCAGAACATGGATTTGCTTATTGGCCACATGCAAGGTACAGTGCTTCTGACTCTGAGAGATATAAAGATGAATTCAATGGAAATTCTGCTCTTGAGAACTTATAGTTTGATGAGAGAGTCAGGCTGCACAAATAATTAGCTGTATCACCAGGAAGAAAGTGAAAAATAATGGCATGAGATAAAAGATAAAGGACTAGGAAGATACAAGGGAGAATGTATTTCTAAAATAAAGAATCACAGCTAGGCACTGTGGCTCATGCCTGTAATCCCAGCACTTTGGGAGGCCGAGGCAAGTGGATTACCTGAGGTCAGTGGTTCGATACCATCCTGACCAACATGGTGAAACCCCGTCTCTACTAAAAATACAGAAATTAGCTGGGCATGGTGGTGTGCACATGTAGTCCCAGCTATTCAGGAGGCTGAGACAGGATAATCACTTGAACCTAGGAGATGGAGGTTGCAGTGAGCCAAGATCACACCACTGCACTCCAGCTTGGGCAACAGAGTGAGACTCCGTATCAAACAATAAAATAAAATAAAGAGAATCTGTGTTTTTAGAGGCAAGGACATTTTAGTTGGGCCTATCCTAATGACTTCATTTTAACTTGATCATCCACAAAGATTCTATTTCCAAATAAGGTCACAAGCTCATGCAATGGAGGTTAGGACTTCATCTTTTTGAGGGGCTCAATTCAACCCAAAAAAGTAAGTATGTATATCTTGTAGAAAGGTGACATTATGTTCTAAAGGGACATACTATTGGAGTCATAGGGTAAGGCCACAACTGTGTGAATGGCAGTGGATTCTCCACTAAAGGAAGAAGATAATACACTGATTAGGCATCTGTAAAAGATGGAAACAGAAAATGGGGAATATAGGTCTGGATTGGGGTTAGTTCCTCTGTCTGGACTTCGACTTGGGCCTAGACACTATGGAATTGAGGCATGTGTGAGGTGTTTCTGAGTGGTAGAGAAAACTTGGTGTCTTCCTAAAATGGTGGTGGGGAGAATGGGTTCTGAGCAGAAGGCAGCCATATGGAGGCCAGGAGAATGCGCTGGGAACTGAGGACTCTAAGAACAGTCCTATCTAGTATGCCAGTTGTTATTATTTATGTGAAAGTCCCTCTGTGACCCCCTAGCCTTAAGAAAAGTCTTGTTAAAGCCACACTTTGGTCTAACAGCAGAGAGTTTATGTTCATGCTTGGATTATAGTGATAAGGGGAGGCCCAGGGGTGTGTCCAAGGACAAAAAATTGCAGATGACAGTCTATAGTCACATTGGGTAAGTCATCCATAAGAGCCCTGTGAGAAGCCCCCTGAAAAATTCCAGAGAGCAGACTCTGGGCATTGTTATTGAAATGACCTAATTTGTACCAACTTTTTGCTGAGACATTCACATTACAAGCTTTGCTACCGACAGCTCAAATGACAGAAACTTTTTATCATTTTAGGAGCTGTTTTATATCATTAAAACTATGTGCTGACAGAAAAATTCATTAAAGAAAAAAATAAACATTTCCAATAAACAAAACTCACTAATTTTGTAACTGCCCACATGATCATGGTTAGATTGCATGTATTTAGTGACCAGCCTTTCTTTAGCTCTTTTTTTTTTCCCCAAGACAGAGTCTTATTCTGTTGCTTAGGCTGAAGTACAGTGGCACCATCTTGGCTCACTGCAACCTCTGCCTCCCCGGCTCAAGCAATTCTCATGCCTTAGCCTCCCGAATAGCTGGGATTACAGGTGTGCCCCATTACGCTCAGCTAATTTTTGTATTTTTAGTAGAGACGGGTTTCACCATGTTGGTTAGGCTGGTCTCGAACTCCTGACCTTGTGATCCACCTTCCTCAGCCTCCGAAAGTGGAATTACAGGCACGAGCCACTGCACCTGGCTCCTTAACTCTTAAAAATGAACACAACTGAGACCAGGGATGACACTTTGAGAACCACTACTGTACAGAACTTCACTGTCAAATGTGCAGTGTCCTGAGATTGATGGGGACACTGTCCCCGGCAAGATAGTTCAGAACCTATTCAAATGAGCTCATGCATAGCTGCCTAAGTCATTGCCATCCGCTACTGCTTCCCATCTGTGGGAAGAGTCTTGCTGTCTGGACAACATGGCCGAGGCTTCTGCCGTATATTATGACCTTACTGACATGTTCCAAATACTTTGGGTGAGAAAACTCTGTTGGATTTTGCAGTTAGCATGTCTGCCTGCTCTTTTGTTTCTCTGACCTCAATATTTACATCATATGAAAGTAGTCAAGCTGGTGATACTAGCAAAATTTCACACTACGCACATTCTTAGTTACGAAACATTAGAAGACTTTTTTTAAATTGGGAAAATGAAAATGGCATTTGAGAGTTCCTCTTCTTCTCAACATAGTAGACAGAGGTTCTGGCCAGCACAGAAGAAAGAAAAAGAAAACAAAGTCTAAGTATTTGCGAAAAGTCATACTGCCAGGGCCTCTCACTGGAAGAATTGGAAAATCGGTGTCTTTGGGGCTCTCATCTTGAGCTGATTAGATTCTGAGAGAGGAACATTTCAAACAGCTTGCTAGGGGTGGAGTGGGGGGTCCATGTGTCAGTGACTACCAGTTCTCCTCTTCAGTACTCACCAGAACCTTCCAATTTGCCTCTCATTCCCTAGTTCTGCGATCCTTTCTTCAATTTAATAACCAGTTACATTTTGGGAAGAGTAGGGCAGTAGATCAGGGTCTTGCTTAAAGCTCAAACCACTGTCACCAATTCCCATATAACAGCTTCCACACCTCACCACCTCCAGAGCGAACTGGTACGGTTGAACCCTTCATTTTTGAGGATTCTGCAACATAAACTATGATGCTTCCCTGGCTCCCCTGGGAACAGTACTGGACGGCAGCAGTTCTGGGCAGCTGAACAGTGTTGTATTCTGTGTAGAAGTCATCCTCTTTCCTGAACTCTCTCCAGGTGTTTGCTAATGTGACCATTCTGGAACACATTTCCTGGTACATGTGGGAAAGCTTTGCTTTGGAAAGACCTTTAGGAGATAGGACCAAACTTTTCCAAAGTGATTTTACTAATTGCAGAACCATCCCCAATATAAAAGAGATCCTGAATTTCCATGTCTTCTCCACACTGAGTATTTTGACTGGATTGACTTTAATGCCCAGCCCCAGGGTACAGTTTATCATCGGGTCAGCGGGTAAAATTAAGTAGGACACTCTTCACTCCCTGCATGAACAAGTTCCTTACATGCATGTTCTCATGGGCATGTTTGTGTGCAAGGTCGCAGGTCCTCCCTGACACAACCGGCATCAACTTCCACTTAGAATGAATTGAGGGTCAAATTCCCAGGAATTAAAAAATGAAACTGAGGCCTCTGGGACTTGTAGTTCAGCTGGTGGAGGCTGCACGCGGCTCTCTGGTATCTGTAGTCAGAAGCACTCTGCTGCGCATGCGGATGCGGGTGCCACGTGGACCTTTTGTCTTGCTCCATTGCAGCGGCATCGGAGGCAGTGGTGCAGGGCGTGTCCATGATCTTCACCTGGAAGAAGTGGGAGCCGCTGGACCAGCCCCAGAAGACCCTGTACTGGGAGGTGACACCAGAGACCCGCAGACCCCTCTCACTGAGGCATACAAACCAGAGCTGATCTACCAGCTGAAGCAGTGGTAAAAGAGTGGAAGAGACCTTTGCCAAAGCAGCGGTCCAGGTGACAGAGTAAAAGCCAGGGCCAGCCAGCCTTGTACTAGGGAGGCTTTGCTCCTGGAAAGACTAACTCGGGGAGCCAGAAGTTCCTCCAGGTTGAGGTGAGTGAGGAAAAAAGTGGATGGAAATGCGGGAAGGGCGCTTGAATCTGGTTACCGTCTCCCCCACGGAGACCTTCTGGAGAAAGATGAGCCCTAAAGGCAATGGGTTGGGGACAGGGGACGGTCCGCACTCATGCGTTTTACAGGATCAGGTCTCCACAGGAGACAGACTCCATGAATGTGACTCCCGGGGACCAAGTAAAGACACTTTGGTTGGCGAAGGGAAGACTTACAAATGCAAGGAATGTGGGAAAGTGTTTAACAAGATCAGCCTCCTTGTTCGACGTCAGCAGATTGACACTGGAGTGAAGCCCTATGAATGCCAAGAGTGTGGAAAAGCCTTTCGTGAAAAGGGGCCGACTTCATTCGACACATGAGGATTCACACAGGCGAGAAGCCCTATAAGTGCACGGGGTGTGGGACGATCTTTAACAGCAGGTCGCACCTCCTGTGCCACCACCGGATTCACACTGGAGAGAAGCCCTATGCAGTGACGAGGAGTCACACTGGAGAGAAACCCTATGAGTGCCTTGAATGTAGAAAGGCCTTTGGCTACCACTCTGCTTTTGTCCGACATAGTAAGATCCACTCTGGAGGGAAAAAACCCTTGAGTGCAAATGATGTAGGAATGCCTTTTTGTGGGTTTTTTCCTTTTTCCTTTGACAGGTAAGGAGCCACACCGACGAGAAGCACTCTGAATTCAGTGACAGAAGGAAAGCTGTGACCTGCAGCTCATCCTCATTTGGCATTGAAGAATTCATTCCAGAGATAAACTCTATGAGATATGTGCCAAGGCCTTGTGCAAGTGGGCCCACATCAGTCAAAGTCAGAGAACTTAAACTGGGAAAAGACATTTTGACAAAAACCAGTGAAGAAAATCTTTTGGCCACAGGGAATATCTTATTCAGCATCTCAGAATTCTTTCAGGAGGGAGACCTATTGGTTATTGTGCACTTAAAAGAACTACCCACACCTGTCTCCATAGTTTATATCACTAAGCCATCTCAGGATTTTTTTTTTTTTTTTTTTTTTTTTTTTTTTTTTAAGTAAGAAGGGAGCTGTAAATGAGAAAAAAAGAAATTCTTGCATGGCTTCTGTCAGACTTCTCTGAAAGCCACGTCTATCAAAATTCGAATTCAGTCTTCATTTTGTGGACTACTGAAAGGTAAAAGGGTCTTGCCTTGTTATTTGTCCTTTATATATATTCACTCCTGTCTGCAGAGGTGTAGACAGGAGACTACACCCTTTGTCCTCCCTCTGTCAAGATTGACTCTGTAAAGATTTATTGAATGTATTTTTTGTTCTAAAACATTGTACTCCTGAGGAATGTCTTTGTGAGAACTATGAAAGCTTAAGTAATGGAATATGTAAAACTTGCAAGAACTTAGAATATAAAAATATTGCCGTATAAAATCATTTCATATCTAAGAAGATAAGCATCCACATGTGAATGGACATATTTTGCTGCATCGTTTAAGACTACTTAAGGCTTTAATTAAAAAAAATGCATATATTCGTGTGGTTTTGAATACCCAGCACTTGATATACTTGTTTTGATTCATTTTCTCAAGAGAATGATGGTGAAGCTGTGTTGCTTTCCCAGGTGAGCCTTGATTATTTCCTCTGTGCTTTCCCAGCTTCTTTGGCCTTGTGTAGAGGGGCTTCTCCAAGAGCATGGCACTAGTTTTCTGGAGGTTAAACAAGAGCTAAGACAAACAAAACAAAACACAGCTTATCTAATCTAATGAGAAACTCAGAAAAAAAATGTTCTGATGAACACAGTGTATTAGAATATAAAATATGTAGATCCTTTGACACGTTAATTCAATTTCTAGAAATCTTCAGAAATGTTCTTATATTATGCAGGGATATGCATGCAAAGAATAATGGCTGAAGTTTTTTTATGTGTGAAACATTAAGAATAATCTAAATGTTTATCAGTAGGAAGGAAGTTATGGTACATCTGTTCTATGAAATACTGTGAAACAATAAGGTATCTCTGTATGTACTGATATCAAAACATCTCTAAGATACAGTATTCAGTAAAAGACAAGTTTTCAGGAAATAAAACTGCATCTAGAAGTATAAGCCTAAAACTGTTAATCGTGGTTTTCTGCAGGAAATAGGATGGAACAGGGTTATATGGAATGTTTAGTTTTTACTTTTATACTTAAGTATTGTTTGCATTTTAAAAATTAAAAGCAGTGATTATTTTTGCAATAAATGTTTAAAATATTTTAATAAAGATAGCATGTTGGAATAAAAGTGACTGCTGTTATTTCTTTAGAAGTATACATTTGGGCTGGGCGCGGTGGCTCAAGCCTGTAATCCCAGCACTTTGGGAGGCCGAGGCGGGTGGATCATGAGGTCAAGAGATCGAGATCATCCCGGTCAACATGGTGAAACCCCGTCTCTACTAAAAATACAAAAAATTAGCTGGGCATGGTGGCACGTGCCTGTAATCCCAGCTACTCAGGAGGCTGAGGCAGGAGAATTGCCTGAACCCAGGAGGCGGAGGTTGCGTTGAGCCGAGATCGCGTCACTGCACTCCAGCCTGGGTAACAAGAGAGAAACTCTGTCTCAAAAAAAAAAAAAAAAAAAAAAAGTATACATTTTACGGATTTTTTTTTTTTTAAAGTACTGGTCTTATTATGCCTTAAAAAAATAACGGACCAAGGATTCAGAGCTACCTAATTGCATTTAATAAATGATAATATAGGTTTTTGTTTTTGCTTTTGAGACAGAGGCTCACTCTGTCACCCAGGCTGGAGAGCAGTGGCACGAACTTGGCTCACTACAACCTCCACCTCCCGGGTAGCTGAGATTCCAGGCACGTGTCACATACCCAGCTAATTTTTGTATTTTTAGTACAGACGAGATTTCACCATGTTGGCCAGGATGGTCTTGAACTACTGACCTCAGGCAATCCACCCTCCTTGGCCTTCCAAAGTGCTAGGATTACAGGCGTGAGCCAATATAGTTTTAAAATGTTGAGCCAACATATATGTAGTTTAATACATGTAAAAATGAGAGTTCAGCATAGGCTACTCTTCAGCAAACATTTATTTCCTTTAAATTGACGGTAACATAAATGCTCGTTTGCAAGTAGTTAGGTTTTAGATATCAGGTTTCTATTTCCCTGTATTTGATAACAAGAAATCATCTGATTGATGTTGATGTCAATGTATTTTGTACACACATTTGCTAACCACAGCTGATTTGTGTTTGCCGCTGAATGAGTGTGATCTGGTTAGCTTTGTGATACACGTTCATGTTCCAAATTAAAAGAACTATAGCTGCATTTCCCCCAACATAATCATGCCAGTCAGTCAGACCTGTTTTCCAGTAAAGAAAAGGAATTTGATATCTACAGATCATATCATACAATTTGCTGTGTTCTCCCTCACAAAATATGTGAACATGTGTTAGCATCATTTCATTTAGGAATCATATACCATCAGAAATGTTTTCCCTGTTAGAAATGAACAAGGAGTGGACTGCAATTTTCATGTAGAAAAATATTTAACCCACAGGTAAAACTCTGTTCTTACTTCTCCGTCATAGTAGTTGGCCCAAAAAAGTTGCACCACCATATGGAGCAATTTCAAGAGTCTTATTCTCTTCTTTAGCAAGAGAAGTTGGCAGCTGTGTCGTGATATCAGTAGATTCTGTCCATTTGGGAGTTACTTCCTGGAAGTAGACTGTGAGTGAGATGACCTTATTGGCTTAGGAGGAGAAAATGTCACCTTGGGAAGATCTTTCTCTGAGAGTCATTGAGTAGTCTCTCGTGTAAGTCTAGACTGAGCAGGCTTCACTGCCCTGGGAGGGATGAATGCAAGACCTTTGGTGTTTGCTATGGTTTTAAAACTCTGCCTCTACTACCACCTCCTGAAGTGCAACAGGACCCACAGAACTACAGGGTCCTGCTGAGCCCAGCAGCTGCACAGAATGCGGGCAGTCACCTTGCCACTGCAATAGGCATGAATCAGACTGCAAGCTAGGGGAACAAGGCATCAGCTGGGAAGAGGGGATGCACAGCTAGGTTTGAGGCCTTTTCATCTAGATGTCTCCAGATGCCCCAGCACAGGCCCAGCATAAAAGCTGTGTGGGCGTCATGCCCCTGACCCAATGCGGGGCTTCATGTGCCATGTACAGACAGAGCTGTCTCCATCCTCCGAGCCAGAGGCTGGCCCTTGACAGCCTCCATTCAGATAGGGGGCCCTCTGAGGTGGCCTGCTCAAGGGCTAGCCCAGCAGCACAGGTGGGGTGGTGACATCCCCCAGAGTCTACCACTATCCATCTTTTCCCCTCTAGCTGGTGCCTCTGAGCCTCATAGGGCCCAGAAGCGACCAGCCCCACCCACTGAGGGTCCCCAGGAGCTGGAGAGAGGCCCTGGGCTGGGGGCCAGAGAGGGACTACCCCCTGAAGAACCATCTCTTGTGAGGCTAGTGGGCCCAGAAGGACTGGGACTAGGTGTGGCCAGCCAGCATTTCTCCCATTGTGGCCTCTGTTGTGGAACTGAAAGACTGCCACCTCTTCTTGCACTCCAAGGGCCTGGAGTCCCTCCTGGCCCCTGGAGTGCAAGAAGTGCCCCAGAGACCAGGTTTTCCCAGATCCAGGGTGACAGAGGTCCCTGGGGCAGTCCCCAGAGCCAGCCCTCTGGACCAGCTGCACACACTTGACACTGATTTGCACAGTCTTGCACAAATAAGAAGTAAGAGCCCAGTGGCTAGGATGGGCAATGGGGGAGCCTCTGGCCTAGGGGAGTCCCCAAGCACTACCAGTGGGCATGGTCCCAGGCACACACCCCCAGCCCTGAATCTCCAGGCCCCTGCCCCATCAAGAGAAGGCTCCTTTCTGCTGGAGAAGCCCCAAATGTCAGCTCTGAGGAAAAGGAGCCAGCCCTTTGGAGGTGCCAGGGAACCCTGGGCCACCCTATTGCTACCAACTGTTCTGATGGCCAAACCACACGCTCTGGAGACACCTGCTGTCTGGGCCCAAGGAGCCCAGTTTTGGACCCAACAGACTGCATTCCCATGGGGCAGAGACTGAGAGGTGCCTGTTGCCTAAAGCTGGGCACACTTTGAAGCCTCTGGAAGGGGCCAGGCCTGCTGAGTCCCTGCAGTGCCTCTCCTGTTCCTACCCCTGCTGTCAGCTGTACCCTGCTGGGAAACTTTGAGGATTTGCTGCTGCAAGGATGCTTTGCACCATCTGACCACATTGAGGGCTTCACAGCAGAGACAAGCTACTGGGTCTTACTGCCCCCCGCATGTCACACTACCTGTCACTGTCACCTTCTTTGAGGTTTCTGAGCAAAATGCCCCCACCCCCACTGGGCATTGTGGGTCTGAACCCTCTGGGGAGGAAGAGTCACAGTGTGTCCAAAGTGGGCACCATCCAGGTGACTTTATTTAACCCCAACCAGATTGTAGTGAAGATGTTGCTGGTAATCTTTGACTTCTTGGGCATAGCTGCTGCCCACATGCCCTTCCTGTGCAATCATCTCTTTTTGGTGCCTGTGGGTAAGGAGGAAAATGCTAACTCCACCCACTGCCTTCTCTGCCATTCTCTGCTATTCACCGCCAGCTCTGCACCTGAGGTTCCAGAGCTCCCACTCAGGCCTCTTAAGCCTGAATAGAGAGCTCCGCCTGCTTTTTTCCCACCAGAGCCTGGAGCTGGACACAGGCCTCCCGTATCAACTGCAAGCTGTGACTGAGGCCCCTCCTAATCCATGTTATTCGCCTTTGCCCTGATTGCCAGCCCTCTGAACCAATGTGGGCCAATGACCTGCCATCTTGCCCATCTCTTAGAGAACATCTGTGGAGAGATGGCAAGAGTCCCCTCAGGCTTGAGTTAAAGCCCTCACCATGCTCATGCCCAGATTGATTATTTGTGTGTTTAAAGCTCCTGATCCTTACTACACCCTGTCCTACTTCAGGTACGCTATGTGTCTGTCCCCTCCCTTGGGTCTCCCAGACCAGCTTAGGAAGCAGGGAGGAACCGGAGCCACCCTGAGGTTGTCTCAAGTTCCCAGGCAAGTCATGCCAGTGTTGCCTCCCTATCCTAAACAAGGGCCACTTATTTTATTTATTTTTAATTTATAATTTATTCAAATTGGATTGCCTTTGTAACTTTCCACACCTGATCACTGGCATCACCCTTCCTCCTTTCCCATTCTCAGATATTGCTCCAACCTCAGGACTTGAAGAGGCGTATGCAGGGGACAGAAGGAGAACTGCTCTCCCTCAGCTAAGAGACGAGGGGTTATTCCAGAGGGACTGAGTCAGTAGCCAAAGCCTCAGGTTCCTATGTCCTTCCCCTAGTCCCTTCACTGCTTTTACCCTCTGGCCTATCTCTGAAAGTCAAGTTACACATATGCATGTGTGCACAAGCGTGTCTTTGTGTGGTACGTGTGAGAGAGTGTGTGCATGTGTGCACATATGTGGTTAACCACCCCTCCCCTAGGGCTCCAGACTCCAGTTGTCTGTCTCCTCCTACCTGTGTCTCCTTGCTTTGCGGCATGACTGAGGAAGGTTTCCAGGGGGCAGAGTCAGATCCAAGGACTGGGGTGCCTCCTCTCACCTGGCCAGACTTTGACCCACCTACTTCATCTAGGGCGAGGGGCAACCCTCAAACTCAATCACGTGGTTCCCAACAATCCCATTCCCTATTTCAGACTCTGACCCAGCCTCAATCCTGACTCCTGGGGCTGGGCTGAGGAGCATTATTTGCTGAAACTTGAAAAAACAAAAACAGGAAAAAATTGTTCCTGGTACTTTTAAAAAAAAGAGGTGGGAGAGAGAGATTTTAAAAGAAATAAATTCTTGCTTGGAAACTTGAAAAAAGAAACAATCTGCCTGTACTCTTTGAAAGAAGGTGGCCACCCTAAGACACTGGGACAGTAATTCTGCATCTGGGGGTAGTGGAGGTAGTTGATGTGAACCACTGCTTCCTGGGCGTCACAACTGTCACTCAAGAAAGTTATAATTTAAGAGACCCCCAGTGGGGTTTCACTGTGATTATGCAATGATCTGGATTTGTTAGCGTGCCCTTGCAGTAAACAAATATCCATGGAATTTTTCAAGGCAAAACTCAACTGCAATACAAATGGTAGTGAGAAAGTAACTGCCCTGGGTGGTGTAAACTGACCAAATTTCATCTCCCTCTGCGTCTCACATTGGAAGGAGACCAACCTGCTTTGGAGTTAGTGCTCAGTGTTCTTGGACAATTCAATTAAGGGACATGGGAACTCTCAAAAG